TATACAGTCAAATGATTTATGCCACTCACATTCGGGCGAGCTGATCCATTGACAGCGCCACAGAGGCCATTACACATGCATCGAGCTCCTCATCCTCGGCGCGAGAGAGCCCAACAGTGCTTTGAATATTGTCTATCATCTGCTGTACCTCTTCGGCTGCCGTTTGCTCTATAACGTTGCGCTGAGAGGTGAGCTCTGCTTCATCCAAGTAAAGAGACTCGAATGTCGGATCTGGAGCAGGCTGCGAGACGAGTTTCGGTAGTGGGGCAGCATCGATTTGGGCCGGGTGAATCCCTAGGAGAGTCCAGAGACATTCATTCTCTTCCACCGCGATTTGATATGCCTTCGACAGTTCCACATCTGTCGGGTATTGACCCAGCAGCGAAAAATCGATGTCTTCGGACGTGAAGTATGTGTGGCAATATCCAGATGCCTGTTTCTTATACGCCGTGGGGTCGAGGCGAGTGCGAACGGACGCCTGCATTTTGGTCCGCATCTTGGGAACCATGAGGACGGCCTCTTGAAAGGTGAAATCCTTCGAAATGTCCCGCATACTGGCGAAGGTATGCTCGTTGGGCTCGCTTGCATTGAACCACAGAAGGAGCGGGGTGGCATGGTCGCCGAGGTGATCACGGTGGATGAAGATCAAGCCGAGCAGACCATTCACGAGAATTTCTGAGATCGCAAATGCCTCCTTTGAGATGAAATGGCGGGACTCTGCATATCCCGCCTTCGAAAGAAAGCGACACCAAGTTTGGAGGAAAACATGGGTCCGAATGGCGATTTTTGCACGTTCGTGGTGGCTCATGGTCCGGCTCTGGTAGGCGTCGATGAAGTCCCCAAATACGAGAAGATAGACGACAAGTCCCAGATTCTTCTCTGGATCTTGCGCAGCTTGCGTGAGGGTGGCGGCAGAGAATAAACGGGCTGCCGCCGGATCATCCATTCTATCCCGGTTCTCCTTTACGTCGCGTGGGTACATCGGAGAATTGGGATCCATGGCCAGCCCGTATATCTGCTCAAAATAAACGACGACATTGCCCAGGACAAGGCCTCGAGCACCGGAAGAGGTGTTATTTCGAAAGGTTTTGAGGCCATGCTTCGCATCTTGAATTTCGACCCAGACATTGCCGTTGAGCTCCCATACGGTGACGATGATATCTGGATAATCCGGGTCAGGGTGCTTGATACGATACTCGATAACCTTGCTGGCCGCCGCAGTCAGGCGCTGACAGGTACGCTCCACAGCGGCGCCGTCGCCGCCGCTCGATGTGACTCGAAATCCACGCGAAATCAAGCCCTTCATCAAGGTGATTTGCCATTCGGCGAGCTTGTCTCCCTTGACTTTGGGACCCAGTGGCATTATGGCCAGCACAAGTGGGGGAACGTTGGGGAGGGGGATCTGCAAGATCCAAAGGCGAAGCTAAATCACATTATAAGTAACGGTCTTGCAGCGTAATTAGCGGGATATACCTTTGTCGCCATCTCCGCTGTCTTTTCAAGGTCATCCAGAGTCGCATTTAGAGCGTCGGCGTCCGGTACTTCTATTGGCTCCCCTGTTGTGCCGACGATAAACCACTTCCCAAGAGGCCCATTGTACAACGGACGAAGGGCAGCATGTAGTTTGGTGTCGTCGACAGAAAGGGAGAGTGGCGCGCCAAGAGGGTACCCGTAGTCTTTGCAGTACTGGTGGGCATACCCATAAGTTTCCTCCTGTATACCGATGGGAAACCTCGGAGCACTCGATGCTTTGAGTCTGTTAAGTTTCGGGTCAATAAGTGTGAATGCCACCTTGAATAGGAGAACATACTTGAGCGATCGTTCACTCCGAACTGGGATGTGTTTAGAAATTTCCCGGTACGCGCGTGGACTGATGGCATGGATGAGGCTAAAGACTGCATCGACGTCCTCATTGTGCTTGAAGTTTTGCTTTCCGACGCCTTTGATCTCGCGGTCCTTTGCGAGTACTTTCGCCTGGATTATCCCATTGAAGACAGTATCATTTTTGAAATTGCCGTTGACGACATGCTCGACATAGCGCCGTTCGACCGAAAAATTATTGTCCTACAGTCAGACAACAGTGAGCGATAGATAGATTAATGATTATGATGAATGAAATTACCTCAGCAAAAAGCGCCTCGAGTCCTTGAAACTTTGCATACAACTTGCCCGCGTGCGGGTTTTGATTCCTGAGCGGCACGAAGCGCAAGTTCTTTGGATCGGCCTGTGGTTTGTTGATAGCATTCTGGTAAGCTCGGGAGGTGAACAGTGAGCGACAGGAGTCGCAGGGCAAGGCGGACTCTGCATTCTTCGCGTCAACCTCCACAGTTTTAAGGCACGCAATTTTGCCTATAGCAAAAGTGGCCATGATCCCCGGCGTCACATCGTTGCGCCAGGTATGATCGTGGTGCTGAGCCGCGTATACGAGCTCCTTCTGACGCTTAGTGAGATCTTGGAATTCTTTCTGGTACAGTTCTTCACTGTAAACTCCAACGGCGCGTCCACCACCACCGATGGAGCCTCTGCTTTCCAGATATTCACCGACTTTCTTGTCAAACGCAGCTGTCAATCCCGGACAAGGTGTCGCGACCTTCACGGGAACCACCGACCTCTTTGGCTTCGCCTGCGGTGCCACAAGCCCAAACTGGTCAAGTCTCCGTGTCGAAGTGTCCGGTGGCGGCGGAGCATTGCCCTTACATCCCTTCTTCCGGTGCTCCATGAACCGCGAGGTGCTGTATGGTTCTTTCCCTTGGACCCATTTTTCACAGGCGGAGCACTGGACTGACTTGCAGTTTGGGTCGAAGGTAGCTTCCTTGTCTACAACCCGAATCTTGGCCTGAAAATTGATGGTTTTCGTTTCAGATGCCTGAAACTCGCCCTTCTGGACCTGTATCCTCATCTCGCGGGCGCAGGTAGCCGCCTTGCTGATGCCGATATTCGAGGGCTCGGATGGTGCAGGGGGCTTGGGGCGAGGCTTTGACCCCTTTTTCTTCGTGGTGTTGCCTTGAGCGGTCTGAGATTTGGATGGTGCATGTCCGACGGACGTAGAATTGGTGAAAATGGAATGCAAGGATCGGACCGGTTCTTCCGTTTGGCCCGTTTTGGGCATCTTCTTCTTCCGTCCCTCCACCATGTCCTGCTTCGTTCGCGTCTCGTCCATCTCGGCTGCCCGTCGTTTTCTCCCATCTTGGGTCGGCTGCGCTGGAGAAGCGACAGCCCTTGCTTTATTGGCCTCGATCTCGGGCTCGGGCATCAAGACTTCGTTGCTGGCAGCACCATCCCTGGGATCTTTGGCAAGAAAGGTGTCGTTAAAGTCGGGATTGACGGCAAGAATGCTTGCCGCACAGTCTGCTGGGTTCGGTGTGCTAGTGGGCTTGTGGATGTCCTGTAAAATCGTCGTGAGCTAATTGTTCCCCCGAGAAAACTGAAAGCGCACCTTTCTCGATAGCGCATGCTTTACCAGGTCACAAAAGGCTTTCATGCGCATAGCCTTCGCACTTTTCGCCGTCCAAAGTGGGTCTCCGAGAGCTCTATGTGCGATGGCATTCACGGCGATTATAGGGCAGTTAAAGCCGTCTGTCTGCTTTGCACATGGTAGGTCATCCGCGACCGTGAAGGCTGGATGGCCAGTTTCTTTCAGCCACACTTCTATAGCGTCGAAGAAGTCTTTGGGGCGTCCCCAACCCAACGAATCGCCGTACCGGGCCCGGTGCGTCGAAAAATCCAGGGAGCATGCCGTCCAATGCTCCGGTGGCCGATGTAGAACAAGGTGAAGATGTCGCATTTGCTCCTCGTGAAACCATGCTCCGTATTTTTTTAGATATGCCTGAGCGCTGCTACTGGCGCGTATCGGGCCTGTCGCAGTACCGTCGACAATTGGGGGCAACATCCCCAGGAACGACGCAAATGTCGTATCCACAATGAGGGTATCATTGCTCCTTGGATCGTCAGACAGGCGTAGACGAGACGCAAGCACGGCCATTAAAGCATCGACAATGTTCGTACCAAGATAATTGGACGAGAAGAGTGCCGCCAGACGGATGACCTGCATGTCTCCGAATGCACCAAGCGATCCGTGCCACCCAAGAACAGTCCAAAGCCCGTGAATGGTGAGCTTCAGTGTCCTCTCTTCCTCTGTCTTGCCCAATCGATCTAACCAGGCCTCTGCGCGAAGCCACGCGACTTTGGACTCATAGGCATCCAGAATTTCCCGATAATACGTGACAACCCAGAAGGGGCATGCAACTCCTGGATTAATCCATGTGCGTATGGAGTTTTTGCCGTCAAACCACGCTTGGCCCAGCGCAGCATTCATGCTGTCGAGCATGGTAGGTGACGGTATGCCTAGGAATGGCAGAATTTCTTCAATGTTATCTGTAGGTTCCGCGGCACTGAAGAAATCGAAGTCGAGCTCCATGGTGTCACTACTCGCAGGCGGAAGGTCGCATTGCAGAAGCTGCGAGATGGACATGGTTTTCGGGGTGAGATTCTTCGCGAAAGAGTCGGGAATTTTCAGCATGCTCCGTCGCGCAGCCTGAACAACGGGCGGGACGTCGTGGTATTGCTTTCCATTTGAAATCCATTCATGAGGATTCCAAGCAGCAACTTGAAGGAGGGTCATGTCGTCGCTGTCGTCGAGTATTTCCATAGAAGCAACGAGATTTTAGTTTTGTGTGTGATGGTAATGAGTTAAAGTCAGAAGTTATCTACATCTATCTATGCCACCCAGAATATGGATATAATTCACATGCGACTGCAAGTACATTGTCCGCAAGAAAAGGGAAGTGCACAATTACCAAACGAGGAAATCCATCAACGATGGATGTCCGAACGACGATCTGACCTGCCTCAGCCGGTACCATTGTCCGAACTCTGGATCCGACCTCTGCTTGGCCACCCTCAAATTTGTCCGAATTTTCACCCGACATGGGTCGGGAAATCCAAATTTTTTGTCCGAATCCCAGATTCGACCTCGAACCCAATTATCACCGGTCCTATCATGCCCTGGCAGGGAATCGAACCCTAGACTCCCAGAAAAATCACAAGAAGGCGAAGATATTGGGAGTACGCACCCCTGCGCCACTAGGACGACACTTTCATCCGACAAAAACAAAAACAAAAACAAAAAAATTCACGGTTGAAACATAACAACGATTTACTAAAGGAAAAAGTCGAACACCGCGTGGTATGCACCCGCAGGGAGTCGAACCCTTGGCCTCCCCGAAACAAGGGCGTCTCAGAGGGACACCTAGAGGGAGTGCGCACCCTGCGCCACGGGAGCCTCGTTGGAAAAAGAAAAACAGGAACTGGCAAATGGCCTCAGCTGGATTCGAACCAACTCCATCGCCGAAGAATAGTCCAGTACTGCGAATATTCCGACGAAACGCTACCAATACACCATAAGGCCAACAAGAGATGAGGGGAATCACAAAAAAGAAAAACCGGAGCTGGAAAAGGGCCCCAGTTGGATTCGAACCAACACAGTCGTCGGAAAGGACTTTCGTCGTGTCTACCAAGTGACGATGCGCTACCAATACACCATAGGGCCAATAATAAAAGAGGAGGTATCAAAAAGGCAAGCTATTTCAAGGCAGGGCCTTAGTTGGAGTCGAACCAACATCTTCGCCAATAAACGATCACCGGATGCCAGAGAATTCAGGGCGACGTGTTCCCAATACGCCATAAGGCCGACGATTTACCCAGTACGATCCCGGTGGGACGCCGGAAGCGTGGAATTGGACTTCCCTCAAATCCATGATCTTCGGTGTCGCACGTGACCGCGGCGCGACGCGTCGAAATGTGCTCGAAGGGCAAAATTGGACTTAGGATTTATCTTCTCACTCTGGTTCACGCGGTTTAAGCACTGGAGAACAGCAGTACATTTCAAGACTACCAAGAAAACAAACAGAAGGCTACAAGATGTGCGGTAATTGACAAAACTACTGAGGACGAACATACGAGACAGCGACAAGCAAGAAATATGCCCAGATGGGCAGCGACAGACACAGCAGCAACACAAATCAGACATGGGTACACCTCTGCTCGACCCAGCCAGGCTGGGGAGTTCAAGGGAAAAACAGTTCAACAAAGTTCAGCAACGAGGAGACCCCCTGGACGAAAGTTCCACCGAGCCCCAGACTCCCTATGAATCGGTATCCATCGCATCCGTGGAAGGAGGAACACCACCGCCCCCAGAAACCTCGCCGGAAGGAACTTCCGGGAGCTCGACGGAAGTATCATCGTTGAACAACTCGGCGGTGGCGGGCGCAGAGGGTGGAGGAGGAGGTACCGAACCACGCGAGGAGTGTACGGGCACCGCAAGACGGCCGCCGCCAAAGATATCCAGGGCGCCGGCGAGTGACGAGAAGGAAGGGTTGGCGGACGGTGTGCGCGCGCATGGGGTATGGACACGGGAACCAGGAGGAGACGTCGGCGCAGGCAAAGGCATCGTGTTTGCGGGGAGAAGATTCCCGAGTCGTTGGATAGCCCGAAGTCGACGGCGGAGGCTCGGCAGGCGAAGTTGGCGCGACACGTTCCCCACCAGAGTCGGCGCCGTCCATGTCTTGATCCTGAACAGCGACGATGGCGGGCACGGACGTCTCGCGGTGGGGGCGACGCTTGGCCAAGTTTCCTTGAAGTTAGAATATCAGCGAGGAACTAAAAGGCAAAACTACCGAGGACGTACCTGGAACTTCGTCTTCGGCTCGACGTTTCCCCTTTCCCTTCGCATCAGCAGCGCTCTCCGTAACCTCCTCGACAACATCCTCGTCCCCAATCCCAAGTCCACCAACGACCGGCTTGAATGCTTCCGCGAGCCCAGTAGGAAGGGCGGGAATCGGTTCCCCAGACGGAACGGATGAGGGCGCTTGCGCGATTAGGTTGTAGAAGGAACGACGCGCGAGGGCGGCGGCGTCCATCCCGCGAGTGGCCTGGATCCAACGGAAAAGGAGACTCAGGATCGATTCGGCAAGACCGCCGCCGGTGAGGCGATGCTGGTCGCGAAGGGACTCGAGGATGACGAACAGGACCCAGTGCTCGTTGAAGAGAGCCAGGATCCGGTCTGGGAAACAAAAAGACACAATCAGCAATCGAATTTCGCGACAAAAAAAAGGGATCAAAGGCGAAACTCACCCGTTATCGCAAAACAATAAGGACCCGGCGTCATGATGCACTTATTCTTCTTTGCGCGGCAGTGGATGCAAGAACCGGCGACGGGTGAATCTCCGTGCATTACGCGAATGCACGGAATCATCCCAAAGAGGCATTTGATACAACCCTGATTAGGAAATTCAGAAGTTAGCCGACAAAATCAAGTACGAGAACCGAAGACTTACCATCCCTCGGGTAAAACACATCTGCCTCGCGATCACAGCGGGAATAAGCTCGTCCTGCACGAAGCCCTCTATATACCCAGAAGACTCCGCATCCACGGACCATCCACGAACGCGGTGGCCAGTCCCGGCGTTGGGATCAAACGGCAAATTGTCCTTGTGCCAGGCGTCGGGGTCGTACTCGTTTTCGGAACCCATGTACATCGAGATATATGTCTGGTGGCGCGCCTCGCCAATCATCACGCCCTGGATCTTCATAATGCGAAGAATAGTCACCAACGTCTGGAGATCGTATTTGGAAAGATCTTCCTTGAAGCCGTTGGGACCAAGGACCTCGTCCAGAACCAACTTGGGAAGATCTGTCTCGGACAACGACTCGATGGCTGGGTGGAGTTCAAGAGGCGCACGCCCCCGCTTCGGCCGCCAGGAAGGACCGGACTCAGCGGTGGTACTCGTATCCTTGATATCGGCAAGACGGGAGCGGCGAAGGTCGTCGGTGATAAGGAAGACGAGGTACGCGCCGGCGGTATGCAGCACGGAGGAGAAATCGTCGAAAGTTTCCTGCCGTTTCCGGTTGTACGTTGTAATGGCCTCGATCTCGTACTGGTCCCGCACCCGCGCCTTCTCGATACGAACAGAGGCCCTCAACGCCCATTCCGCATGCTTGGTGTCATACACGTCGATGGCAAGGCGAACACGCTCGGCCTCCGACGCATTGTGGGCAGTCACCAAGTTCCACCACTCCACTTTCTTGGCGCTGCGTTCAGCAAGCGTGTAGCAGGCCTTGTCCTCGAAAGGAGGGAAGGGTTTCGTATCTGTGCTGGGCTCAGGTGGCTCAGGATCATCGGGGTCATAAAAGAACGGGTGGCTTGGGTCTTCCGGGAATGGAGGAGGTGGTTTTATCGCAGGAAGACGATACAAGATGCTCTGGTGCGCAATTTTGAACCCGTTGAAACGGAGAAGGACCGCGGCGATGGATTTCCCATCCGGGAAAAGGCTGGAGCCTGGCTCCATCAAGAGGAAACCCTGGTGCGCGAAATCGGCGTCAGAACACCCCGGGCGGCGAAGGAAGTCTGGATTGTCGCGCCGATGGACGCGCATGTACTCGCAGGCCGACTCAACCGTGTACTCCCGGATGTACGCGAATTGCGGAAGAAGGGTGGACTCGTCGTAGGAAACAGAGAATTTAATGTCCACCCAACCGAATTCCCCCTGGAAAGCATAGGCGTTGAGGTCGACCCTGTGGTAGTCCGGAGGGATCTCGATGGGCTGGGAGGTGGACGCGACAGGGGATTCAGAACGATCAGCGGCAACCTGCGACAACGATTTCGGTTTGGCGGGCGGCTCAGGTGCCTTCAAGTTGACTTTGGGCTTCTTCTTGCGCTTCTCGGTTTTCCGCGTCTTGCGTGCCCTGGAGGCAGGGGCCTCGCCGACGTCCGTGACCTCCATGACGACGTCGTCATCGGCGGTGGCCTTGCAGCGAGTCTTTCCCATTCGATCTGGAATGGAACACGAAAGGGGTACGTCGTCGTCGGAGGTGGATGCTGCACGACGTTTGGAGAAGGACTGTTCTGAGGAGGACGACTCCTGCGAATCCGAGCCAGACTCGGTGGCGGAATCTTCAGAAGAAGTGTTGTTGGCGAGCCTGCGGAAGATCAGTCAACATCGGCCAATATCGCACAAGACAACTAGAAAAAGACTCACGAAGACCTTTTATTCACCACGGGGATTTTACTTGACTGGCCAGCTTTCTTGATAACAACGGCGGGAGGAGAAGGAGGTGGTCTGCGTTCACGGCTGCCCCTGCGAAGAGGTTTACCGTGCCCAAGGGCCATACAACAAACGCCCGAGATAGAGCCCCAACGCAAGAGTGATCAAGGCGAGGAGGTAGATGAGCAATGAGAGGAAGAAAGAGGATGCCAGAGTGATGAAGTGGCAGTAGGAAAGACGAAGGAATGGAGTCAGAAACGAGGCCAGGGACGAATTGAATGGGCGCACCTTAAATTGGTATGTTTTGATCGAAGACTGATGCGCAGCGAAATAAGGTTCGGGATGGTCCCACGGATGCCACGAGGCGGCGGGCGCATTTAGACGCGTCGTTCAGGGGAAGGGAGGGAAAAGCGCGGAAAATATCGTGTTTTTATTGATCTAGGTGCTATAAGGCCCCTGTCCGAGATCTGATCGGAGGATCACGTGACTACTACGCGCCACTTGGAACCAAAGATCATCTCCCAGAAAACAATTGCCGGGAACGGAAATCTGACCACATTGGGTCGATCTAGCCGAATGGAAATTCGGATGCGATAAAAACCATCACAGACAAAATTGGCAGGAGCCGTGAAACAGAAGAAAATGTTGCCAAAATATCAGAGGCCGGTTATTCGAACCAGCAATCAGGAATCATATAGGAGGACCTCGCAGGAACAAATATCCGGGAAGTAGCCCGCAGTCGGAACGAACTATAGGAATTCTAGGAAGTTGACGCGACAACGAACAAAGTGAAACTGGAGTTCACGAAACATCGAAAGGGATTAATTCCTCACGATGGCCAAACAGAATTGATCACTCCCAAGGCAAATGATGCAAATATGCGAAGTTTTAGATTGAAGAAAATCGAGCGCATGTGACCAAGACGCGCAGGAATGGACCTATCAGAAATACAAACAAACAAGCCGAAGCCCCTATCCAGCATCTTCTCCCGACCCTTCCTCCTCGTCGCAGATATATTCCCACCCGATAGACCCGTCCAGACAACTTCCAACTTGGGAAAACTGGTTCCCGTATAAAACGGCCGGGATTGGAACGCCGTACTCGTCGTCGTAATACGAGTGGTCGGTCAACTCACCGGAAACGTCGAAGGGATAAAAATCGCAGGCCGTGTTGCCCCGCTCCTGGGATTCACGTGCGGAAAGGATGGCACAGTGAAGGGTTTTCTTGTCCAAGGGCGCAATAATGTGTTTGGAGGTTGGGAAGCCAAGGACATAACAAATCCTATAAAGGATTTCGAACATGACAACACTCTCTCCAGGATAATTGAATTCGGCCGGAAACGGTATCGCCCAGTCATCCAGATACT